CACTTACAATCTACACTGTTCTATTTAATCAGAAATATACTTTTCCCAGAAAGGACTCTGATATGCTAATATTGTATATTAATACATTGAAATAAAAAATACTTAAATACACCTGTATCAAATCCAATAAATGCAACCCCTATAGATCTGTAATGAAACGTGGTTCTTTTTGTGACTGGCAAGAACTACGGATCAGATTTCATTTTCCTTCTGCAGTTCTAGAAGAATTTAAAATCTCTAGATGAACTTCCACGACTTGTATTTACTGAGGGCTTATTTTCTGCTATAACATTTGTTTTGAGTGGAAGTTTAATAATACAGCTCGACATTGGCAAGGATCAGTTCTCCAGAAACACTGCAGGCTCCTGAACAACTTTAGCAGTGTCTGTAGTTGTAAAAATATGAACTAACACAGTATCTGTCTCATGCAATTACCTGCTTCATAAAAACATTCCGACTGATTTTTCTGTACTGCTTGTTTCATACCTGATGAGTCTTTCGAGCATCCCATTCAAACTTAAGACTTGCCTTACTCTTTCCAAAACAAGTGATCTCTTGTGTTCAGAATTCAAGGCTGCTGATAAGAAGGAATCACTGTGGCTTAGAAGAAGCAGGCTAAATATTGGAAAGATAAACTAAGACAAAGGTTCTACTAGATGTTTTGAAGGACTGCTATGTTTTAACCAGACAAGCATTTCTAGCAGTAAAAGGCTAAAAGATCCATTTTTAGTGAAGCCTGGCCTTTACAGTGCTTGTATTTAACAGCTGCACTGTGTAGCAAGAGCAAATTAAATTGATGTTTTATTTTACTTCTGGTATAATACAAGTTGTTTGTATTTCAGCAAGCTCCATCTGAAGGAACTGAGAAGGGTTAATTGCAGACCACTGACCTTAACTAAACAAAATGTAAAGCCTGAAGTTTTGATGAGAACACTTGGTAAGCTATGAGCAAACTCTCCTTTATTGAATTTATATTTGCAAGGAATGATAATCCAAACAAATGAAAGTTTCCTTATGTCAGTAAAAAAAAGCCAAGAACTGTTTGTGCCCTGTACTTCTCGCAAAGCATGATAGTGTTTGGAAGCTAATCGTGTTATTTGGGTTGTAGGCTTTGCTTAGCTAATACCTCACTGCATGACAATAAGTGGGCACAGCACTGAAATTGTGGGTTTCCTAATGTAAAGGTCTTCAGATGTTCTGGAGGTTCTTCTGCTTTACATGGAGCCACCAGTACTTCTACTCCATTTACCTCTGAGGTTACTATATCATCTTGCTCCTTCTAACATGAATAGCGTAACTTTGACTGACTTCTCCAGGGGTTAAACAAGTCTATTACTGTTACTCTGTCCAGAGCAGGACTGGCTTGCTTTCATTTGGAAATCTGATGTTCTCTTACATTGGGTGTGCTTAAAAGCTACAGAAAGTAGCTAAGCTTGTCAAGATCAAGTATACTTTTAAGCTGAAAGAACACCTTATCTAGGCTGCGCAGAGTCAGGATGCAAAAACTGCTTTTCATTAGTAGATATGCACTTCCATAATTCCAGTAGTTAGGCTAAGAGCATGACTGAAACTGCATGGTATGCCAGCTTCAGTGAAACAGCTATTTTATTGTCCTAGTTCTGTTATCTCCAGATAACTAAACACTTCCCCAATAAATACTTTTTTTCTAACACAGAACCTGCTGAATCAAGCACCAGACGTTGGCTAGCTGATAGCATTTGCTCTTATGCTCCACTAAAGAGTAGAAAATAAATCAAAATTGGATTCTGGTACTGGATCTTCTGCACTTGTCCTTTATTTTAAACAGACTGTGGTATTTACAAGAGGAGAAAGAACTTGTTCTGTGAGCAGGCTCTGGGGTTTGTTGTTTTGCTGGTTAATAAAACACTCTCCAAACACAATTTATGTGAGAAAGAAAAGATAAATTGTTAAGCAAGAAATAAATACAAAGAAACCATTTTCTTTACTCATTTTTAGGCTCTCACTTAAGAACACAAATTTACTTTCCCCTCCCCCAAGTTAATATCATCTTTCGCAACCTGGGATGGTAAGGTGCATTATCAGAAGGAAGTTAAATAAAATATCGGGATTCATTCAGCTATACATTCCAGATCTTTCTTTTTCCCTCTCTGCAGGGGAGTTTATTGGCAACCTCATTCTTTGATGATGACATATAAGCAGGAGGTTGATTTCAGATGTGTGCTGCCTTCTGCACTTCACCATCTTTGAGGAGGATATTTTATCTATCAATTTTTTTTGACAATTTATCTACCTGAATCTGCAACATCTCTTCAGGGAAGTGCCGATAACAGTGTTGGGGAAGACATTTTTTGACTTATTCATGAACCCCTGCATCAAATACATTTTCAGTTCCAGCAGTGACTCATTTGAAGTAGTTACTGCTGGCAACAGTGGCTGAATAAACTGGTTATAAGTGTAACCCTCTACTTCTTGGATGATTTTTAGTGATGCACTATAGATGACTCCTTTCCTCTGGCCCTGACAGCTGACATCATCCTGGGTTCCTAATTCCTTTCTTCCTATCCTTTCTTCCCCCTCCTTCTCTCCCTTTTATTTTTTTTCTTCTTTTTTTCAGTTCTCTGCTGTAAAAGCAGAGGGCACCCATGACAGCTGCAGATTGTATAAGCTTCCTCATTTAGATTGTTATTTAAAGTTCAACTTTCATGATTAGTCAAATGAATCAAAAAGATAATAGAGAGAGATTATGTGACACAGACATTAGTCACTACTGCTGATAGTTGGGTATATGGTTTTGCATCACCTACATAAAATGTCTTGATGTCAAGCTTGTATTCACTTGGAATTTGTCTGTAAGAAATTTTCTGGACTTAGAGTGAATTTTCTCCTACATTTTTCTTACATTATTATCTAACGTTATTATCACCTCTCCATCTGTTTGTCATAGCTCTCTGTGGCTTGAAAAACGTGTAAGTAGAAGGTCACTCATTTTTTTCAGACCTTGTTCCTTTCAGCTTAGTTTATTGCCATGTGCTTCTTAGTCACTGAGTGACAACGGTGTAACTCTCACCCCTAAACCCTCCTATTGCATTTCACTTATCAGTGTCTCTTAAGAGTTTTGCTCCTTTCTGGTTTGAAGGATAAATATGCACTGCTGTAGTTTTGCACACCTGACTTTTCCTGATGTTAATGAAATTCTGGAGTCAGAATGAATAAAATCTGTTTGAGATCACAAGCTTCAGTTCTCTGCATGATGGAAGGATACAACTTACAATTTCAGTTTTACATTTTTGGCTTTCAAGGTTTCAGGCTTGTTTTCAAATGCCAATCACTACAGAATCACTAGTCTTGAGCTGTAGGCTTTCGCTGATGGCCAACTGCACTTTTTTCATGCTGTAAGGCTGTTACTGGCTCCTAGGGAAATAAAGTCTATAGGCATCCTGCTCTGTATTTTGCAACTGGAGCACAATATCCAATTACTGTTACACAGCTTTTGCCCAATGTCTAGCTTGTAGCTCCATACAGGTTCTGAAGGTAAGTGATACTCTCAGCTCCAGGTATGTGTAAGCAAAGGTAGAGCTTCTAGATATTAATGATTGTTTCTTATAGGGAATCTCGTGTCAAGGATGCAGAATATACCCCAGAGCTGATTTAAGAAACCAGAGTAGTGAAAGCAAGTCTATTTTAATATTGTTCAAGTCTATTTTAATATTGTTACCTTTTCCAGGGGCCCTCCTTTTGCTCTTTGCTATTGAGGGAGTGGGGCTACATGTGTCCACTACTTACTCTTTGTTATTGAGGGAGTGGGGTTATATGTGTCCACTACTTACTTTTGTTACTAGAATGGGATTTAAGCAGTATTTTGACCAAAGAAAAATCTTCTTATGTGTCCAAATGCAGGTCATCATGTACGCATGCTCTCTACTTAGTGGGCAAGGGCTACCTTTTCCCTGTCATAACTAAGGAATCTGAGCCACTGAGAAACATCCACAGCAAAAGTCCAACACAATCCTTGTCCTTCATAAACAGCTGTAGAAACTTTTTGCCGGAATTTTGATACTTAGAAGTCAGACATGAATTAGAAGACCTATGTTAACCCTGTCCTTTAAGCTAATATTCCCAAAGAAGCCTATACGAGTACCCTAACCACTCTCCAGTCCCAAAACTTCATACCTGTGTCTGAAACTGGTCTGGATGCTCTCTTGTGGAATTTGTGTAGATTTCAGTCCACCTAGGCTGGGCAAAGAACTGAATCTGAAGCCTACATTGCCTGGGAGGATGCTTTACACATTAAGTCACGGAAAACTTTCTTCCTGTACAATAGCTTACCTAATGTGCAAAGAAACACCTTTTTCTTTAGAAATTGCGTATGTAAAAGAAATCAGTCTTGCTTAATTTCAAAGCTACCCACAGGAGATGACTGAGTACTTTGGACTCCACCTTGTAATCATGCTGGTGAGGATTAACTGGGATATAAATAGGGTAAGAAGATGGGAGAGGACGTTAAGAGCTTCCTGTGTCTGGCTTTTTGTTTTTTTACTTTACTTGATGTATAGCAACCCTACGCACTTTAGTCTATCTCTGGATCAGCATGCAGGTGCCTACAAAGGCATTGACTAAATAGGAGATGCTAAGTAGCTGCTTTGAGTCTCCCCTATTACGACAGTATAGCATTTAGTATAGGTTTTTACGTAAAGAAAATGTGCAGGGTTTTTTTTTTGTAATTCACAAACCATTCAACCACTAAAATGTGTACATCAGATACCTTTAAAAACAAGTTTACACAGTGTACATGCTTAACTGAAATCTTTTCCTTCCCACAGGAACACACTGATTTTTTGACACAACAATCACAGCTACTCATATGCTAGAAAAATCAGAAAATCAGTTTGATTATATTGCATAGCATATATTAAATGTCAAAAGGATTGCTGCAAAGGATCTGGTGGCTTACCACAATGGAAATGACTCAGCTCGCTTGTTTAAAGAATAATATTTTAATTGTTTTGTAGATCACAAACCTGCCAGCCTTGTAATTTACACTGCTGAAGAACAAGACGACATCTCTCCTTGGCAGACAACTTCTTCTTCTCTCCTCCTGCTGTATCAGCCAAATCCTTGTATCTAGAAAAATGAGCAGAAGTAGAGTTACTCTAATGTTGGCCTGGCTGACATATTTGCAGAAAGTGTCCATTTGCCTTTGATTCTCAAATCTTTGATATCTGAACTGAAAGCTTAGGATTCTGCTAAGAAGGGTGAAGAAAACACTTTAAATCCTGTATATAATTAGACACAACTTTGGTTAATAACAGTGTGGGACAAGTGATGTCTAAAACTCAGATTTGTTTCCTGTCAGTTCTTTGGATGCCACACTGAAAATCAATGCAGAAAGAATGCAAAGCCTTACCACCTGATTTCATTGGGACTGAACTGGGTCACTCAAAGGAGGAAAATGTATTTTCAGTATGTGTCATATGACATATGCCTACTAAGGAGCAATTCCTAAGAAAGTGACAGCAATAAATATGTTTTCCATCAGTCTGAAATAATCTTTTTTTTTCATTTTGAACAAGAAATCTAATAGCAAAGAGACTTTAAGGAACTTGATCGGTTTACACTATTGGAAAGAAGATCAAGAGGAGACTTGATTACAGCACTGAGTACCTTCAAAGGCAGAAAATGCTAGATATGAAAGGTCTCTTTGATGTACAGGATAAAAGAACTGAAGTCATACAAGCCAAATAAAGTATAAAACTTCAATTTTAACAGTGGACTTATTGCAACATATTACTAAACAAACTGATTAATTTTATACATCTTGAAGCTTCATATTATTACTATACTTTGTTGTAGATATTCCTCAGTCTAGATCTGGCGGCATGCAATGAGCTGGAATGCTTTATAAACAAATAGTTTTTGAAAAGGAAAGATTTTTCAGATGTGTCACTCTGGAGCAATAGCTGCAGGTAAACTGCTCTAAGACTAAATTTCATCTAGATTTTAGTTTCCTGGTCCTGCACAGACTCTTAGGTATCTCAGCTCCTGCAGTCCCAAAATGTTCTCTGATCTGGTATCAGTCCTGCTGACGACTCCATGGTTAAATCCATACTAGTAAATGAAATCTGAGAGGGATTATTTCTCTGGCACAGAAACTATCTGGCAAAAATACTCAGCCTGTCTATTTATTAAGTATTCTGCTATGTTCTATTAAACTCTGTCACCTTCCAAGAGAGTGTAGCCACATCTAAGCCACCTTCTGGGACTGGTCACTAGCTCGTCATAATTCCCAGATTGTGTCCAGGAATTACTTGGAGGAATGCTCATTGGAAAGGGCCAAAATTTCTCCAAACATCCTTTTAGTTAGTCTAGCACTCCAGAGTACCAGCAGAAATCTCTGAATCCTACTTTCCCAATAACTCAACTAGCTGTATGGTCATGAAGTAATTCGTTTCATGGACTGCTACTAAGACTGGGGCCACCTCATTTCCATATTTGCATGAACTGTATTTCCTTAAAATTCATGGAGAATCAGAAGTGTGAGAGAGACAACTGCTGGATAGCTTAGCAACTGCTGACTGACACAAAGATGATTCAGCATTGACTCACAATGCATGAAGAAGTAACTGTCATAAGTGGTGAGCCTGCAACTCACTCACAGCAGAAACCCAAAGAAATGTATTTCATTCCTGAAACAGAGCCAAATTAAAATTTAAAAGGTTGAAATTCTAAGCTTGGATCAAATTTACTTTACATGTAAATCACTGGACTCAAAAGAAGGATAACCAAACGTTCTTTAAAATCTGTATTATACAGGAAGTCAAACAAAAATGATCCACTTTTTTCCCACCAGCTTTAAAGGTCTCTGGAAATCTAGCACATTATCCTGGAAGTCTAATCAGAGTTCACAATTCCTTTCTATCCATTAAAACAACCTTGCTAACGGTTATTGTGGTAGCAGAGAAAGAGCTAACTATGTAAACATATTTCTGCCACAAACTTCATCTGTGACTACAGGAAGTCATTTGGAAGATGACCTACCTTTCCCTAGGTTAGACACTGGAAAGTTACACTCCTAGCCTAAGTTAGTCATCTTGTTCTTAAGACAGTCTGTGAGGATAGGTATTCCCAAAGAGTGACTTGTTCAATGCATCCTAGGTATTTTTGTTAAAATGAGAAGAGATTGCCCTCTGGAGGTGTGTTTCTCTACTGACCATAAATGCACTCAAAGAGAAGTCCAGTCTGGATGCTTGCATTCTGGATGGCTGAGAGGAATCTCACCTTTAGGTCTACTTGTCTGACTGACTGACTTATCTGCAGAGTAACTAACAGAACTTCCTTATTTCTTCTATCTTGTTCAAATACACTGGCTATCTAAGCACCTTGGATGAAAAAGCATCTTTAGGCCTTGTGGTGTCATCATCCACTATCTCACATAAATCATTTTTATCTTGTATAAGGCTGCTTAAATAAATACAACACAAAATTTTTAGATATTGATATGTTGATATGTAGATATTGATGGAACAACTTATCCTCGGTGCTGTTTCCAGGCATATCAAGGATAAGAGGGTCATTAGGAGCAGTCAGCATGGCTTTACCAAGGGGAAGTCATGTTTGATCAACCTGATACCCTTTTATGAAGACGTAACGAGGTGGATGGATGGTGGCCGTGCAGTGGATGTGGTTTATCTGGATTTCAGTAAGGCATTTAACACCGTCTCCCACAGCATCCTCATAGCTAAACTCAGGAGGTGTGGTCTGTATGACTGAATAGTGAGGTGGGTTGCTAACTGGATGAAGGGAAGAAGTCAGAGAGTTGTTGTCAATGGGGCAGAGTCCAGTTGGCGGCCTGTGTCTAGTGGAGTCTCTCAGGGGTCAGTGTTGGGGCCAGTGCTGTTAAATATATTCATCAACGACCTGGATGAGGTATCAGAGAGCACTGTCAGCAAGTTTGTTGAGGACGCAAAACTGGGAGGAGTGGTTGACACACCAGCAGGCTGTATTGCCATTCAGAGAGACCTGGAAAGGCTAGAGGTCTAAGTGGGGAGAAATCTTATGAAATTCAACAAGGGCAAGTGTAGAGTTTTGCTCCTGGGAAAGAACAACCCCATGTGCCAGTATAGGTTGGGGACTGACCTGCTGGAGAGCAGTGTAGAAGAAAGGGACCTGGGGGTCCTGGTGGGCAGCAGGATGACCATGAGCCAGCAATGTGCCCTTGTGGCCAAGAAGGCCAATGGCATCCTGGGCTGTATTAGAAGGGGAGTAGCTAGGAGGTCGAGGTCAGGTGAATTGTGCACTCCAAGAGCCCCATTTCTTACCACTGACTAAAAAAACAGTCTATGCTCTTGATTTTAGCACAGACATGCAATATTAGACAAAGTGAACCTCTCTCCTAACCAAGTCCAGAAGCCTAGCCAAAGCAACACATTCACTAAGGGACACAAAATAAAAAACAAAACAAAACAGGGAGATTTAAAGGATTAAACAGAATCAACACTCCTCCACTGCCATGTCAAGACTAATGTAGTGTTGATTAGGAAATAAATGCAAGACTACTTCCAGATACAAGCTGAGACAGGGAACACTGACATCGGTGGGGGGGCTCTCCCCAACACTCCTCCACAGAAAATCAGTGTGAGAGAAGCTCCGTTTTCCCCAGCTTTGTCCTTTCCCTCCTTGTCCTAAATTGTCATTTTTACATACCTAAACAGAAGAAAGACCTTTTGGCTAGACAGGCTAGCAGTGTTAGCATGCACAGACTGGCCAGGATCCTTTGGTGCTGCAGAAGACGTGCTCTGACCTCTGTTGCTTTGCTTGTAAGTGGTGCTCTCAATCAGGGAGATTTTTTGTTTGTTTGGACTAGGTACTTCTGCCAATACCTTCAGGTAGCTTATGAATACGGAAAACAGTTCTCTTGCGTCTTGGCAGATAAGGTTGTTATCTGATCATTTTCTCCCTCACTTCCCTAAGTGCACAGCTGACAAGATCCAGCAGGCTGGTTTTCCCTGAGACAGAATATTCTCCAGTTCAGGGTATGGCACAATAACCCACAGTAATATTCTAAGGCTCAGCACGCTATTTGATTTACACGGAGTGCACACAAATAGGCTGTAGGGCTGTACTCCCAGTTCTGTATGCACAGCAAATCTTCAAGCGTTGGAATAAACACCACATACTCATTCGGAAGTGCCTCAACATGATAGAAGAAACACACAAGTACAAAGGGCACAAACCCAAGCAGCTCCAAATCAATAGCTTAAACCACACAGATGTCTTTGAACTGAAGGTTCAGAATGATGTTTTTGTTTGCTTTTTTGATATTTGCTGTTCGTTTCCTCAAGTCTTTCTCTTGTCTAGCTAAGAAGGGAAGACTAAAAATGACAGAGATAGCTACTGACTGCAATCCAATGTCCTCAGCAGAAGGACAGCTTCTGACACCATAATTTAAATAATTCTCTCCATGTCTTTGCCTTGTTATTTAGAAAAAAAAGTCAGGTATGGCTGGCATGTAACTGCTGTATAGGACTGCTGAGTAATATGACTTTAAGTTTTAAAAATAATCAATTCTGCCAGTGTTCTTATGTTGCAATTTAATTTTCTCTTTCTTTTGTTTACTACAGTGCATTCTATTTGTCAAGGTAAAATGGAATGATTTAGTAAGATTTATACAAAAGGCAGTGAATAAAAGGCAGCAATAAAAATTAACTTGTATCCTGTATTTCTTCTGGAAAAAATTTAGAGGTTGCCATCATAAAGGAGTAAAACCATGTTGTGTTGCCTTGCTAAATTATTTTTTTCCCTTTCTAAACTTCCTCTTTTCTGCTTTTCACAACCAGTAACAGATTGATCTATTATTATGTCTGTGAAGTAGGTGAAAGAGATGGACTTTGTTCGCAAAACTTGTCACTATGTGCTCATAACTCAGGATTTTTAATTTTGTTTGTTTGGGGAGGATCGGAA